AATACTATCGATGGATATTTGGATAATCCAAGAACAAATAGAACGATTTTATCCAATCAAATAAAAAGAGCAACAAGTCAGATACGTCGTAAATATACTAATCTCCAAACTGATCAAATAAATGAGCAACGTGTTAGATACAATGCTGAGGCAGAGCGAGATTTGCAACAAACCGATTTGGATAATGCCTTGAATGATCTTAATTTGATGACAACGGCATATAACAATGAAAGAGTTACATGCCAGCAATATTTTTTAGAGTTACAGCAATGTCGCATCAGAATAGATAGATACAAAGATGATTTGTTCCTATGTGATATTCAGCTTGATATTAAATGGGGTAAGTGGAAAAATAGAACTCAAAATGCAGAGCAAATAATTTTAAATTTGCAAGCACAAATTTTATTATTACAGAATAATATCCCAAATCGAATAAACATGGCCAATCCATTACCTACATATTCAGGTAAAGAAGATTTATACGAATTTCTTGCACAATTTAGAGCTGAAATAGAAGGAAGAGGAATAGATGTTGCAGATGCAGTGGGTGGTCCCCCAACAGGAAGAGATCATGCAAAAGGATTATTACGTGGGTGTATGAGAGGACCAATGTTAGAATGGTATGATGAAAATATTACCACTAAACAAAATTTCGAATTACATAACTTACTTGATAATACAGCACAAGGTACAATACAATTAGTAGCTGGACGTACTGCGGTACAATTGGGCGCACAAGCACTTCGAGAAGCAAATGGTCGAGCAGGTACAGACATAATTCCCTTAAGAGCAACACATGATCCTTGGAACGAAGATTGGAGCATAGCAGATGGACGTCCAACTAATGATGCCGTTAATGCACCTAATGCTAATAATGGTACTCCAGTTGTTGTAGCCGGAATAAGATTTGGTCAAGCTGTATGGATGTTAAAAGACAAATCACCTACAGTCGAAGAAGAAATCCGAGCGTTACAATATGGAACATTAAGACAAGGAGATGGTACAATAGAAGAATTTGCCAATAAAATCCGAAGAGCTGGAAGAGGTTATAGAGATGAAGAATTACGAAGAAAATTTCTTGATGGGTTAGAACCTGAATGGTTAGAAAAAGCGGAGGATATAGGGGAGGATATGACTTTTAACGAGTTGGCTAAAAAGCTTTCTAAAATCGAATTAATCAGAATGGCCAGAATGAAAAGAAATAATATGCGCCTTGGCACTAGCTCCGCTATAAAATCTCATGAACAAAAACAAATATCTTCAAATATAGTTTCTCAACCGTCAACTCAGGATTTTCAAAAAATGCTTCAAGATGGATTTAATAAACAACAAGAATTATTAAAAAAACAGCAAACGGAGCACAAAGCTGAAATAGAAAAATTGAAAGCCGATTTCGATACAAAAATGAGCCAACATTCTAAAATTCAACCCACTCAATCAATAGATCAGTCACCAGCATTACCACCAGGTCGTGAGTATAGAAGAGATGAGTATTATACAAATAAATTTATGGATGATAATGAAAGAAGACGAAACCCTAATTGGGGTGGTGATATAAATAATACGCTTTCACCATTACCTAACCATATTCAGAATCAATCAGCTAGAATAAAAAAATTAGAAAATGATATCAATATGCTTTGGGGTGGTACAAATGAAACTCGGGATACAGTAAATCAGATGAATAATCGATTTAAAAATTTATCAAAGGGTGACCACACAACCACGGTTAAATCAAATCGAACAAGCTTTGTACCACTTGAGCCTATTTCTAGTAATGATGATGAAAATTGCTATAATGAGGAAGATAATATATGGTACGAACCTGAAAAAAAAAACTGATATCAGTAATAGATAATACCAAAGCTCCTAAATTAGTAAATTCATGTAGATCATCAGTTATAAAATCCAAACAAAATAAGGTAGGCTCAGAGAGCCATTGCCCCGCAATAGTCGATGAAGCAAAGCTTCGAGACTCTGTCTCTTCACCAGTGACTACTTTCGACAAACTTTTTCCAGAATCAGATGATCAACTATTGAAATTATTGTCCCCTGCAATGCGAGATAAAATTATGAACCCCTCTTCAGAAAATAAGTGGGTTGATTCAGTTGAATATATACAATGCAAGATCGAAAATATTGATATTCCGGAAGGGGGGCTTGATACATTATCTATGTGTAATGTTATGAATAAAGCATTAAATAATGCATTAGGATGGGACCTTGGAAATGCACCAAATATCGCTCTTACACACAATTCTGATCATATAACAAAATTAATTGGAGGACATAGGGACATTCCAATATCGATAAAATATAAAGACGAGCAGGGTGTAGAGCACCTGATTACAGTAACAGGTAATGTTGTAGTTATTGATGATGGAAAAACTGATTATCTTTTATGTATAGGGATACCGTGGATCCGAAAAGTTAAAGGAATTCCAGATATAAATAAACACGAATTTCAAATGGCAGTTCGAGGAAAATCTTATGTTATTCCAACTTTTACTAGACCAACTGAAGATATTAATGTGGATCAGCCTTTGAGTAAGGTATCAAGCTGTTGTACTACTGTAATACAGGATAGCACACGGGATACAGAGACTTCAGAACCATTAGAAGAAGAATGGCACGCACCAGAAGGTTTTAAACTACCAGATTCTACTACTGAAGAGGTAAAAAAAAATGCGTAAGTTGTGTGGAGTATGAGAAAAGTCTATACAATGCATTAAAAGCAATTATTGAACTTAATGATTGTAATGAGGGTTTTCAAAGAAAATATAAATTAGATAGTAGATGATATACGACGAGCGTTAGCTAAGATTTTATCCTTTCTTTTTATTTCTCGTTCAATCTGATCTTTTATATCAATAGGGACATCATCGCTACTAGAACCTACACTTATTTTTTCTGTTGGGATTGCATTATTAACTAATATCGAACTACTGCTAGGTATTGGATCAGATATGCGAACAGATTTAGATCGAGATTTGGAACTTCTCTTTTTTATTTCTGTATTTGGAGAAGTAGAGGATTCCAGATGTAGGTTCGAAGAAGTATGATTCAAAGAAGGGGCAGAGCCTCGAATCTCCAATTCATCGCTTAATGGCCTGCTCTGCAATAAAACCTCGCTTTCGATCTGATTAGAATATTCAGGTGGTATAGGTAATATTTGTTGCTGGCGTTCTCGGCCTTTCCATATATCATCTACTCGATGTTCATTAATATGGAAATCTCTTATAATTTTATATTTAGGTACCTTATCTTTGAGTGATCTAATTGTTTCTATTTGCGCAGAAGTTAGATATGTAGATTTTTCACAATAATATGTTTTTAAAAATGATGTATCCATACTTTAATTTTTTACTGAATATCTAGAATGGTATTTAATGTTTTAAAATAATAAAAAATATTATCTAACATTGGAAAATTATAAAAACCGATATATATTATTATAAATTAATAGGAAATATTAGTATGAACATACTTTTGACAAATAAAACTAATACAAAGTACTAGAAATCGTAATATATATCATAATTCAATAATATCTAATATTGTATTTTAATAGTCTAGGATATCTAACATTAAATATCGTTGAATATCGTTAAATAATAATAGAAATATTAATGAAACTAGCTTTATTATTTGTATACTATATATTACTTAATAGCGAAGCTAGTGTTAAGATACATATGGCTAATGTTCATACGTTACAAAATATTAAAGGCCATCGACTTGGTAGTATGCGAGAACAAGAACTTGAAGAATCTTTACACCGCTGTTTAAAGTCTATATCCGAGCTAAATAACTCTAATGGAGTAATGCAATCCAAATGCTTGAAGCAAATGAAGGGTTTTGATCGGGAGAGAAAAGGATGGAATCGAGAAAGAAAGCAATGGAAAAGTGTATTTGATAATGTTAATAGTGAGAAACAAAAGTTACATACCCACACTTTAGAACTTATTGGAGAGACTAAGCGGTTAAAGATTGAAAATACTAACCTTACCTTCAAGAATATATGCAAAGATCGTTCTCTTGTCGAATCTAACGCTGAGAATGTTATAAAATCCAAGAAAATTAGATCACTTGAGTCTATAATCAAGATATTGGAAGGTAAGTTGACTTCAGCACAGAAGGATGTGTTTTCGATTCAAAATGAGTCATTGAAAAAAGATTCTGAGATATTGTCCCTTAAATCTAAAATAGCCGAAGTAGAACAAATGAAAAGTGCACTGGCCTTAAAAGTTAGTGAGCTGGAACATCTGAAATCAGAAGATATATCTCTATCTGTGATTGGCGGAGATGACGAAAAAAATACGCAAAGCGAGGAACAAAGTTCCATATCGAAGTCCAATAATAGCGAAGCTAGTGTCAGCCCCTTAAGGCCTGCTTCCGCAGAGACACATATTTCTGCGGATAATGATCTCAGTAAATATTTTGCACGTAAAAAAAATATGGATCAAGATAACAGAGTTGATGCTAGGGCATCTGAGGGGTAAAGCCCCATTGTTCCCATAATAAAAATCGATACTATCATGCCGGATCATACTGACGATGAGATTACCCCCATACCTGAGGAATCAGTGATTCGAAGCTATGCCCCACTACCAGAAGTCGATACTGAGATTATTCCCAAGGTAAGTGACGATAAAACTAATAAAGATAGGGACAAAGTCCCATTGCAAAACAATAATATGCCCCCAGAGCCTAAATCGCATCCTCAGATTTCGGTGAGAGGGATAGAAGCAATTCCTATTGTGGCAAGCAGTTTGATGTCACCTCTATCGGCATATATGTTTCTTACCTTGTTAATTATCGCAGTGATGTGGTTCGTGATACTGAGACGTACATGGGGGTTAGATAGGAAAAGTGATCAGTTGCGTAATGCGTGGGTTGGATAACGAGATTATCTATTTGAACTTGGATATTATTTATATAACATTACTTTTTGGCAGAAGATTTTCCGGGCGATTTTAGCTCATCGGAGTTATTCTGATTGCTCATCCTCAGAATCGCTTTCGAAGTATGAAGGTGGACATTCATCTTTACCCCATAGGTCGTATGCGATATTTGAAAGTTCTTTTTCTTCTATCAAGCTTACAATTTCTGCTAGTGTAAATGCATTAGAATTCATAAATCCTTGTAGTAGTGCTTCTGGATTCTTTATATCTGGTATGTTATATACGAATTTTTGCAGAGTTTTCTCTTTCCATTGCCTAACCTCCTTTTCATTCCAATGATCTTTGATCTCGTCAAATAAATATAACCAATAGTCCCAATCAGTGAAATAGCAACACTCCCATTCTTTTCTCCATCCATATTCCTCAACAAATTTATTATGTTCTTCTTCCATAGAATCATAATTATAATAATCTGACATTCTATAATGGTAATTGTCATACATCGTTAATTATTTGTATATATAGCGAAAAAAATCTGATATATGGATAAGGTAAATTAGTTGATAACCATTTTTATGTCGTGAAATTTTGATCAGAATAAAACTCAGGCAAGGATTATAGTGTGTTTTGCACCACGCAATTTTAGATCTCTAAGCACATCATTCATCTTTTTTACTTCCTTTTTTTCCTCCTCTATATCAAATGGTTCTTTTAACAAAAAGCGGAAATCATCAAGAGTTAATTTTCTATAATCATCTAATAATAAAGCAGATCCAGGAATGAGTATACCATCCCGTCCTGTTCGTTGACAAATTAATCGCGTTGCCAGTGGATTTACAGATAAGCCTTTACTCAATCCAGCATCATCACAAAATAAAATCAAATGGAAACCTTTTGGTCCAAAAATTATTACATGATTATTAAAATCGCTTTGTAGTATTTTACTAATATCTCCTTTTTTAACATTAACTTGTTTTATTTCCGGAGGGCCTTGTACAGGTATATATATTCCTTGAGAAATTTCTTCCATAGTAAGCTGATATAATCTTATTAATTTGGTTAATTTTAAATGCTATTAACTCTGGTTGTTCGAAAGAATTGTAGGTATGAAATTCAGTCTATGAAAACCCGGATTGAACCTTGAAGGTTTGGGTTTTTGGGTCGCGCAATTTTGATCGAGGTGCAGTTTTGGGTAAGTGACATATAATATATTTCGAGATGCTTTACAAAGTATAAAGTATCCTAAAAAGTAGGACACCAAAGTATCAGATATCATAATTCGGTAGGACACCAAAGTATCAGATATCATAATTCGGTAGGACATCAAAGTATTATAATTCGATAACCCATCAAAGTATCAGATATTATAATTCGGTAGGACATCAAAGTATTAAAATTTATAGGTCAAGGTTTGGTAAATAATGGAATATGATTAGATATATAATTCGAAAAAAATCGGTAGGACACCAAAGTAAAATTAATACAGATATATATAAAATAAAATTATGCTTTGATGGGTTACCAAGTAGAGATAATATTTTATAAAAATCGGTAGGACATCAAAGTAAAATTATTACAGATATATATAAAATAAAATTATGCTTTGGTGGGTTACCAGGTAAGGATAACCATTCGGCACTACGTGTCTCATCCTCGAGTGATATTCGAGTGCATTATAACAGTTAGCAATTCGGCACTACGTGCCTCAGGTTTGATATATTTTTTGTCATTCCAAAAACCTTCCAGGTGGGAATAGATGCTTCACTATGTTTCGCATCAGGACCTTCCAGGTGGGACTATTTCGGCAC